CGACCATGCTGGACGCGATGCTGCCCCATGAGCCAGCTGACAGTGAGAGCGACGACGCCCAGGTGGTTGCTCAACGGGCCGAAGAAGTCCGCCAGCTCGCCCGACTCAGGATTCAAGACCAGCAACGCGTCGACGCGGGCCGCTACAACCTTCGTCGCAGGGACGTTCATTTCCAGCCCGGAGACAGGGTGTGGGTTTGGACGCCCATCCGTCGCCGCGGCCTCAGTGAGAAACTGCTGAAACGGTACTTTGGACCATACAAGGTACTTCGTCGCCTCGGCGAGCTGAACTACGAGGTGATGCCCGACGGAACACGAACATCGTCACGCCGCCCACCACGACCTGAGGTCGTCCACGTCGTGCGCCTGAAGCCGTACTACGCTCGATAGGACTGTGGACCTTATGTGCTCCAAAAGACTCTTTAGTTTATCGTTCTTTTTTATTTTGTTTTGTTTTACACTGCATCGGGGCGATGCACTTTTAAAGGGGGGAGTAATGCCGCGCGCAGGGCTGAGAAAGCAACGCTCGGCCACGGACCCTTAGAAAGTTCCCGTTTATTCATGTAGCGCACGTAACTTCTATTATTTATATCCATGTATCTTCTGCTTTTGTTTTCTAGAAAGTGCGTGTTCATTCTCGCCCCGATCACGCGACGCTCGAGCCACTTTCGCCGAATCTTCGAGATAGCGACGCACTCTAGATAAGAGGCCGCCCGCGACATTGTCGAGTCAGTATCGCCTCAGCGTTCGACCTTGCTGCTTCGCCGCCTTCGACGCCCGCGACGCTCTGTTCTTATTTTTCTATTTCCTTTTATTTTTGGCACAAGTTCGCTACATTAAACGTCTATTTCTTTCTGTGTATTTATTGTTTCTTTTGGTCACCACCCGTGACAATATTGCCACACCGTCTGCTGAGCCAAGGGGGGGGGGGGGGGGGGGAATTGCTGCAGAAAGCCGAGACTCGTGGTTTCGAGTTCCAACGCACAAGAGATACGCTGTTTTGGTATTATCTGCGTTTAGTTTCTAATTAAATGCTGGTGAGAGCAGGACCTAACTGTCGCAGTGGAAATGAATATTAAAGTGTTTTATTTTGGCTATAGCTACAATTGTTTCAAGTCACAAAACGAAATCCTATCAATGTTTGGAATTCCCCGCGTTCATATCACTCGTCACGAGAATTATGGGTCAGTGTAAAATAACTCGAAACTCAAATCTAATATCAAGATCGGGCACATGTTCACTTCAAGATATCGTAAAAATTGTTACAACGAGCTGTTTATTTTGGGATAGTTGTCAAGGATTCATGGGTCAAGAAATCACAACGAGACTCATTTTTTTTTTAATGAACTGGAGATGGACTAGGAGCTATTCCTACTGGTTACCCGTTTCATTTAGCACTCACGCAGTCTTAACTTTAAACGATGATTAAAACCTAATACAGTTTCTTGATGAAGACCCAATGCCAAGGAGCCGAGCTTCTGTTTTCTAAATCTATTGCGTACACGTATGACCAAAACGCCGAGACTGTGACGAGAAGCGACGAACAAATACGTAGTTCCAAACTTTGTTTCAGTCTGTGATTGTTTGAGAATTTGTGTTTGTCCTTCCCTTTTTGTCCCAGTCTCGGGGTTTTAGTTAGTAACCTTAAACTATCACCAACTCGTTTGCGTCCCAACCTTCTTTTTTCATTGCTTAGTTTAATTCAGTTGCAAGACGCCATCGTCGGTCTTCATTTGTTTTTACATATGTAATCAAATTAGAGATGACGGCGTAGAAGCATTTAACTCAAGGAGGGTAAAAAACAAGAGACACAAGTCTCGAGTGTCACAGCGTTGAACTCGAATTATCGTTCCTTGAAAAGAGATACAGAATCATATGCTCGCTGTTTTCATACGATTGTTGTCAGGCATCATATACAGGTAGTCCAATTAAGCGATTCATTTAGCTTTATTTCTAGACTTCACACCTGTGGCTTGACTGCGCAAGTGTCGTGAGTACACGCTAAGTACCTCGAGAAGAATCACAAACCTTCAGAGATCTCACGTAGATTTACTGAGGTGTTTTTCAAAAGGACTCATTTCATTACCTTCGTCGCACGTAAACCAGGTGAAGAATAAAAGTAATTATGATATAAATCGTGAGTTAAATTATGCTTTAAATTACACCGGTGTTACTGGAATCATTTAAATCAAATTTTTCCCGCAAAAGTAACCCCAAAATAGAGTTTTTTTTTACGTTTGTCCATCATTTAATGCTTTCCATGTGCGATTGTTTTGGATTAAAGCAAAATAATCGCCAAGCAAGAAAGATTTGTAGCTGGCTGAACACAAACATTAAGCGGTGCTAGCAAGTCAGAGCACTGGGATCTCTTCTGACTTCGTTCGTCAGTTACCCCTGGGAGAAAATCACAACGTTAAACAAACGAAAACGAGAAAAGTAATGTCCTATTTCAGGGAAATCAGAGCAGGAAAAAAATACGAAATAAAGCTTTTTATTATTTAAAAATCAATCTGTCTTTATTTTAGTATGGAGGGGTTTACATATATTAACTTTGTTATTTAAATTGTACCTTAAAAGTTTAAGTTATCAGTAATTTTTTATTACATATTTTTTTTCAGTGATCGGATAGATACCTTCAGTGATAAAACACATATTGTCAAGAATGACAATTGATGAGGCGATGATAACCGAAAAAACTAAGCGTTTAATGGGGCGGACTTGTGCCCAAAAACAAAAATGGAAGAGAAGAATACAGCAGAGCGTCGCGGGCGTCGATGTCGGCGAAGCCGCAGGATCGAGCGCTGGGGCAAGACTGACTGCGCATCGGCACGTTGAGCCCCAATGTACGAGCATGGAATTCTGGAACAATCGGAGTAGAAGGTTCGGCGCGGAGAACATTCGGACCTCGAACAAGCAACAGGATTCTCGAATTTACCAGAACACGAAATTGCAAGAATAAATAAAAACACGTCGCTCCCAGGAATCGAACCCTTACTCTTCGCGTGGAAGGCCACGGCCACGCTGCTTTCTAGCTGCGCGCGCGGTAATATCTAGTAATAATAAGCTACTTTTCACGGGCTCTGGTGATTTAAGTCAAATGAATCTGATTTAAATAAGATAAATATGATTTAAATAAAATATATCTGATATAAATCTGATAAATCTGATTGAAATAAAACACATGCGATTAAAATTTAATGAAACTGGTATAAATGCAATCAATCGGTTGTAAATCAAATAGATCTGATTTATTTGAATAACAAATCGTGATTGTTTTCCACCCTACACGCAAGCCTTACTTTTTATCCTCCTTTGTTGTTCATTGTTAATTTATTTGATTCCTGCATGTAAAATAATAAGAAATTATTTTGTTTTATGTTTTCTATTGCCTGTTCAATAAGAATGGACACAAAAGAAGAAGCATTGCATATTTTTTTGTGAGTATCTCGTTGCTTCGCCATCCCAAGCGCAATGGCGCTGCCCTACGGTTTCGGTTTTGGTTTCGCTGCATCCCCGTGTTGATTTTAGTACAGCCTCCGGACACCAAGGGGTTCAAATGGCGTACTCCCAAGGTTTACCAGCTCACGTCCTATGGGCGGGCAAGTATAGGAAGTTTCACTCCTGGGGCCGAGATGTCAGTCAGCTAGCGAGCTGGCTCTTGGGAAGTCGAGGTACGACCCATGCACCGGACGATCCGACCGGAAGCAGGCGTAGCCACGCCAGGTCTCCCTAGGGAGTAGCCGCCGCCACCGTCACTGGACGCCTGGGCTGTATAGTCCCACGAGCCGTTGTCGACTCCGTCTGTTTCCTATGGGTAGTTTTTATCGCTTTGCCAAAGCAGGACTCGCCAGGCTCGGCTACTCGATCGGGCCACCCACCTACGATGAGCTACAGTCGTAACAACGTCCGCTTTTGACCTGTGCAAGTTTTCTGGTCTATACTTTTTTACAGGAAGATAACTAGGCATCGGAATATCACAAAATAAAACCCTCCGTCCCAATACGCATTCGGTAAAAGGAAGATTGAGTTTTCAACGTACAGGCGCCTATTTTTCCGGCTCGTTTCATAGGCCTACCCTATCATTTACATAAATTGTTTTACGTTGCAGCTTCGAAGCAAACAATTAACTCTTGCTTGTGTCACGGGTATGGTTCGTACCTAAGTGTTTCATTTCTCTAATTGCTGAATAAAAGTACCAAAACTGCCAAACTTCAATAAACACACACAAAAAAGGACATATCAGTATTGTGAATGTACCGAACGTATTCCTCCATGACCAGTTGACCTCACCATGAACTAAACCGGGGCGTTTGCTGCGTCGCGTAGCGTGTGACATAGTTATTGCGCGATTTGCAAAAGCAGATCGTCAAATCAACCTGCCATGCACAATAGACCCTCGTTTAAATATGTGGGCCCTCTAGCAGCTGCTGCGTGGATTATCCGAGGCCGCCATATTTTGGGCGTGCATTTAGGCAGGCATTGGACGAGTGCGGCGTCGGCGTTCGGCTCGCCCCCGGGTCCAAATGTATTCGACAGCGGTACTGCGCTCGTGCGATGGACGTGAACTTGGATCTAATCCCACGCTTCGGGCAGGAAGCGATTCCCATAATATTGCGGCCACCAGTGTTGCGTGATGGGCTTCTGAAAAGAGTTTATCGAACACTGCGTTTCCAGGCGTCGAGCCTCCGCACAAATCGTATTTCTTTTCACAGACTAACAGCACGATAACATTTTTCGATAGCCCTTTTACGTCACAATACTGGCGCGATACCGAGGGAAAGTGAGCGGAAAGGAGATTAACATAAAAAAGTCACCTTATTGAATTCGGTTAATATAAGCTACAACTTCCGAGTTTTGCAGCCAGTCTCATAACTGATACAAGCTTCAATTCCTTTTACACCATGACAAGTAGCGTTTAATGTTTTATGGCTTTAGCGGAACCACGTATATACGAAATTGCTTACCGCAGCTCATGGGTCGTCGCTTCTGTTTGTCATGCAGGGCGCTTTCGAGACGACGGAGGGAGCTACGATAACCTGTACAGGATGTACGGAGGAATTCTGCTCCTTCTTTCTGGGATCTTTCTTCTACTTGTCTGCGCTGAAAGATGCCTCAACGATGTTTGGACGCCAGGAGAGAAAGTGCAGGAAGGGGGACATCACAATGGACCGATCTCACTGAGCGCCGTGCGCACGCACGACGCCGCCACAACTTTCGTGAATGGGAGGCAGACGGCCGTTCATGCGAGGTCTCCTGCCGTCTCGTGCTTCACACGTGCAGGCAGAGCTCCAGCAAGGGAGTTGCACGCGCAGAAATACTAAAGTTTCCTCGATGCATTGCGGCAGCGGTGGCGAAGTCAAACTGGCTGGTGAGATCGGTCTGTTCAACTGAGCAAACTAAGAATACGTGAAACGGCATGGATTTATGATTTCGATAAAGTTTATAAGACTGATATCGTTTTTTTTTTTTAGGCGACCGAGATGTTACGTCATACAAAAGCGTAAGCTGGCTCAAAAATATAAAGAAAACATGTAATGTAAATTCTTTTAATAAAACAACAAAAACCTGGAAGTGTGTTTTAGTTGTAATTTTGACTTTTAGTGCGCGGCTCTTCGAAAGTGAGTTAACCCTAAATACTAATAGTCATTCTAAAATGTTACACCTTCTAAACAACCCTCCGAAATATAGTTGAACACTTGATTTTCTTAAAAGGACACTGCAGCAAACTTTAATTTTTTTTTTCTAAAGTACATGAATGGGACGCGTATGCCACAAATTCAAACTGCCACTGAAAAAAAAGTAAAAAAGAAAAAAAGACCGTAATATTTACATTGCAAAATTTATTTTAATGATTTCGAAATCCGCATCTATTTTGGGGTTGGCGTTTCGAAAGACAATTGCGTTTCAAAATCCATTCTAACTTCAATTAAATCTTGCGAGATTAATATCTCGCTAAATGCGTCTTACGTGGGAAAAGTTTATTTTGTTATCTACGTGTCCTAAGCACAAAATATGTTTCTAAAAAATTCGTTCTTCATTAAAAAAAAAAAAAAAAAAAAGTATATAGCGTTGCTGAATATTGTAGAAATGAACACTCGAACCTATGCGACATAACTGCACCAGCAAAAACCGCACAGTATGAAACTTTTCAAAGTCAACCCATCGGTTCAGCGACGACTAGACAAAGTGCCTAAACGAAACATCCTTTACCCTGACAGCTTAAAAAAAAAAAAAAAAATCGGCACACCTTTATTAACAATTCGCGTTACAGGCATAAACCACGTGCCTTGCAGCAGTAATTTTGTTTGCGTTTTAGATTGATTCGGGTACGCTTTATGTACACGGCAGTGATTCCTGCCCCTGGCGTTTCACGCGGGTTCGGTGTAGATGATGAGCGTGCTACTTGAGGACTTCGGCGGAGACTCTTTGGGCGAAGACGACGGCGACTCGATCGACCTCTCCGCCGGCACGTCGACGTCGTTCCGGACGTCCGGTACACCCTCCACGACCACGCTGCGGAAAAGACCACACCACATTTGGGTCGGGCTCTTTATACCCGTAAGACGGCACCTAAAATGGCCTTTACGGAAAATGACATTCGGTGTACGTTATAGTGCAGTACGGATCCTGGATGACGCATTGCGCTTCCGCCTTGATAGCAACGGCGGAAGCGCACATTCAGGGCCCCTTGCAGACGTAGAAGTGAACACGGCAGACGAAGACTGAGCGTGACCACAGCCAGAGCAAGCAAGCCCTACCGAAATCAAGGGAAATCACCGAAAGAACCGAAAGCGAGCAAGCGCGGGAAGCTCGGATTTCGGATTGGCTTATGACGACGTTACTCTGGCTAATGGATTTCGCCCGACGCTTCGCCTCATGGTTGCCACGAAACATACAGTTTTTGTCAGAAAACGAACATATTTCAAATTAGTGTGCGAGACTTTCTATCTCGGTGTTCTGTTATATCTTGCTGTCCCAGCAGACAACATAAAAATAGTGTTGCGCCGTGTTCAAATTGTTTAATGACGAAAACGTGCACTGTGTACCAGAGGCGACTTTGCGACCGCAATCGCAGTAAACATCACCTAAATGTCATTTAGAGTTGTCGTCTGGCCGGTCCCATCTTGAACGTCATTTGAGAATCCTGAACATCATTTGGCGTAAATGGCAATTTAGGTGGCGCCTGACATGGTTATTCTCTAGTTCTATACGGGTGTAAACTATTGTACGAATAGGCTAGTGAAACTTTTGCGCGAAGATGTCTTTAGGCGACGCCTTCTTCATTCTCAATTTTCGTAAATGTAGGTTTAAAAAGAAAAAGAACTTGGTATTTGCTATGCGACGGGAGAAAAGTAAACCAACCGTCTTATTCACGCGCTCGGAGCAGCTAAATCTGCTTCGGGTGTTCATCTCTAGGAAAGCTTTTTATACTTTGGAATGGTATCGTGCCATATGGGACTAAAGCATCAATCCGACGGTCGGCGCCGGTCTCTCCCCCGCGCGTATAATATAACAAGTTTTTCTTTCCTTGCATTTTCCCCTCGAAAACCCCATGGACACTCACGAATTTTTTGGATGATAAATGAATCAGCCAATGATATCTGTGAAAATTTTAATTGCCCTCAATATGTTGCCTTATTTATATGAACGTATTTACGCTCGGACAGCGCTCGGAAACACCCTGTAGATTAGCGGCCCAAGAACATGCGCCAGAGAAAAACCTTCCATGTTTTTGTATGCAGGAGTATCACATGAACGTCGTACAATTGCATATAGGAGAAATACTATAAAGAACCGTAGGGCCTTTTGCCACAGTATTCGAAGGAGAGACATCGACTCCTCAGTGAGCGCAGACGGTCACACACTGGTTCAACACTGCGCATCTTGTATCCCCTTCTTTCGGGAGGTGTTTTACCTTTCCGAGGCCTCGACGGATGCTCGCGCTGAAATCAAGAGGCCTGACGTAATTTGACGTGATTCTTCTTTAGACATATCCCGAGGCAGGCGCCGGCCCCACGGCACCACTGGGCGCGCGCGCGGGCCCGACATCTTTTTGTTGAGGGGTGAACTAGTCTGGTTGGACGTCATTTGATGACGTGACTGAGTTCTCTATATTGTATAGCGACGCCGCGAACTTCGTTAAGATATTCTGATAACAACTATCGCTGTAAAAAAACGTCAAAATGTATCACTCGATCCAATACGGTGATTACAGATTCTAGCCTAATGTCAACATCTTGCTTGAAAAATAACTTGTACTATAGAACACTGCGTCAAAATAATTCAGGATGGCGTTAAAAATGTATGGGTGACCAATATTAGTCGGAATTCTTAAATCCTGCACAAGGGTGTGATTATTGCCCACAGCAATACAACAATGAATTGCTTATTAGCAGTCATATTCTGAAGGTATGTCAGCAGATGAAGTTTTTCAACAACTACTGGGCCCTGACATCATCTAAATTGCACGCATGATTGACCCAACTTTACATGAAGACAAGACCCAGCGAATGCACCACTTGCTTTGCAAGTACCACACCATATTTGATCTTGCAAATGGTTCTCTTGGCCAGACAAAAACAGTCATCCACCGAATCGACACCGGTACAGAAACAACAGTCTACCACCGTCCCTATTTCGCGTATCACTAACCGAACGCCGCACGATCCAACAAGAAGTTTACAGGATGCTGTCAAGAGATATTAACGGGCCATCATCAAGTCCTTGGTCCTCTCCTGTTATTTTAGTGAAAAAAAAGGACTGCTCTTGGCGCTTTTGCGTCGGTTATCGCCGGTTGAACAAGGTAACAAAAAAGGATGTGTATCCTCTGCCACGCATCGATGACACACTAGATTGCCTCCAGGGTTGGGCAGTATTGCGATAGTATTTCAGAAATGCATTTCGTATCTGCATTTCTGTATCGCGATACATTTTTTCACCAGTATCTCTATCCTGTTTCAAAGTACATTTGGGATGTTTCTTTTTATCACTATACAATCAGGATAAAATGTATTTTGTTACATTTCCTAAAAAATACCGCCCCCCCCCCAAAAAAAAAGAAAAAAAAAAAGAAACAGGTCTGAACGCTTTCTTTTTTTCACTTCTGTGGGCACCAGGGTCAAGGAGATGCTGGGGCATTGTTATTATGCTGACCAAGGCCCCTTCCAATTCTCCAACTATTTGTTTTATGCGTTCACTTCTCTCTTATGAGAAGTGTTGCGTAGTCGGGGACTCGAACCAGGCGGCGTGCCAGGAGTGGAGTTAGACGATCTTCTGCAGCAGGTTCTTAGGTAGGGATTTCTTGAGTCATTGTTTGCTGGCATCCAATGCCCGCTGCTAACCTTCTCTCTTGCCTTAGCGCACACAGTACACCCAGCCGGCAAAGCTGAGTCACAGTCCGCTGCAGCCCGAGCCTTGCGGTGGTTGACTTGAAATAGTAGGATGACTCAGGCAGTAAAGTTCAACACTTATTCGAATGCGTCTGCGGCTGCGCCCGTAATATTGCACGGCTCAGGGCTACGTCATCAGCTGACGTGAACCTGACCCGCTGCTCTTGTGGTCCGGAACCCAGGAAGGAGGCCAGACGTGGCCTCGCTGTGCCAACCCTAACTTCGTACACCTGCGACTCCAGACACTTCCTTCACCTTCTTCTTTAACGTTGTATATAAAACCGTCAGTTGTGAGTTAGCGCCTGTCCTGTGCACTTCTTCGTCTGTCCTCGTCCTAGAGCTATTTGTAATTTAGTAACCTGCGACTCGTCTCAAGCGCGCTGCTTTTCGGAGAGCTCGCACCTGTGCTGGCAATGTCAGGTCGCAATCCACGAGGTCTCTGTTTGGATGATGCTAGGTGAAACTTGAGGACTGCCATTCGTGCGTCGGTGGCGGAGGGTCGGCAGGAAGGATCTTCACAACGCGGGAGCCACCGTATCGTTTTTTCATCCGTAAAAGAAGATAAGACATGTGTCCCAGGATGCTTCAGGTGGTCCGCTATTCTCAAAAATTCCAAATGACACTGCCTGCACAATCTTCATCGAGGTAACCTACAACGAAAGCACGTATTCTCCTTTCAAACAGAAGCGTGGTAAAGTTTCATGTTCAAGGCCACACCTACAGATAAAGAATACCAGCTCAATCCACCGTGACGTCATGTGGTAAATGTTGACAGGGGCGTGGTGACGCTTTAATAGGATTTAGGATGACAGAATTTATTTAGAGGTCGAAGTCTTTTCGCATTCCTCGCCAAGCAGACAGGATATCAGGGAAGGGACTTTGGTCAGTCTTTGATGGAACGTTTTTTTGAACCCATTGAAGACTCCTCGTCGTTCGAAACCACTAACTTGAAGGCAAAGTGCCGAGACCACGGGAAGGTAATTTCAGGATCAAAAACTTCCACTTCAAGCGTCAAGCTTCATCTCAGTTGGCGTCTCAAACAAACTTCAAAAAAAATATTGCAGAATCAGTATTTCTGTATTTCTATTTCTGCCCTCCCTAAAATGTATTCCTGTATTTGTATTTCCAAAGACTTTTTGCCGCTACTTAAATTGCATTTCCGATACTTATCGCGATACATTTTTACATATATATTTTAGTATCAGTATTTTAGCTACTGCTTTATTGTACCCCAGTATTTGTGTTTCCAAATACATTTTTGAGTATTTCTGCCCAACCCTGATTGCCTCCAAGGAGCTGAATATTTCTTCTGCATTGACTCTCGTGCCGGCTACTGGTAGATCTGGAGCGTCGATGAAGCCGATCGTGAGAAAACTGCAGTCGTCACACCTGACGGCCTTTTTGAATTCAAAGTCAGGCCATTTGGGCTTTGTAATGCGCCCGCCACATTCGAAATAATGACGGACCGCCTTTTGAAAACTCTAAAATGGGTCACCTGCGTGCAGTGGCGTACTGACTTGTTCTTGAGGGGGGGGGGGGGGGGGGGGGGGGGGGGGGAGCAAACCAGTCCGTTTGTCCAGCACTGACAACCGTTGGAACGCTGTTTCAATAGACCAAACCACTCGATATGCCATCACATTATTGCTGGCAACCAGCACAGCTGTTGACCTCGGCCCCTTCCTTTTGGAGGATGTGATATTGAAGTATGGAGCCCCTCGAAAACTTCAAATCAACCGCGGACGCTCCTTCCTGTCCCGCGTGGCATCCGAGATGCTGCAGTGCTGTTCGGTGACCATCAAGTTAACATCGCTTAACACCTCCGAACTAAAGGCCCGTCCACGCGCTTGTAACCGAGTACGACCGATTGAGACAAGACCGGTTTTCAAGCTTCTTGCGACGGCTGAGGACTTGCTCCGCAGCAGCGTATCCGGTTCCCTGCCGTCACAAGAGACTTAAAAACCGGTCTTGTCTCTCGTTTCACTCGGTTGCAAGTGTGTAAACAGTGCCTAATGGTCTTACTGAGCGACTGAACAGGAGTCTCACTAACAAGCTGTTAATGTACGTGTCATCGGATTACAAGAATTGGGATGCAGCGCTTCCATACATTACCGTCGCGTATAATTCATCCCGCCACAACGTGGTTCCACATGTTTCCTGTACACTTCGGGCGTGAACCTCCGTTGATGATCGATTCTCTTTTTCCTCTTCAACCAAAGGCGTCCCTTACCGCATTTTTAGCTGAGTCTGCCAGCCGTGCTGAAGAGGCCAGTCAATTAGCTCAACTGCGCACGCGTAGCTCTCAAGAACTGCGGTGTACCAGCTACGATCGCTCTCATCAACATGTTGCTTTTTCTCCCGGTGATTTAGTTCTTCATTGGACACCGAAACGCCATATAGGACATTCCGAGAATCTTCGCATCGCTATACAGTACCACACCGTATTCATCACAAATACAGCCACGTAACACATGTGATGGAATCTCCGAACAAAAAGAAGTCAGGCACAACGAGACACAGTACACCTGCTTCGTCTGAAGCACTACCCCCCGCCGACATGATAACTTAACGACGAGACGTTGTTTTCTTCCCAGGGACGGGGTTATATTACAAAGACGGAAAAGGACAAAGAAGAGGTTAAAGGAAGAAGAGGAGAGCAACTCTATCTCTGAAACTGGGAGCAACAACTCCATCCTGTTCTAACCACCGTTTTTTCATATATAAACAAAACCATCTTTTCACCGTAACAATATTATTATATAGGCGCAGTAATCAGAGAAAATCAAGTACCTTGGAACTTCCTCCCTGTCCCCCTGGGAGGTTGTCTCAGCATCCTGCTGCGCCACTGGCGGGAGCGGCACCTCCTCAGAGACGGGCGGGGCGTTCGACTTCACTAGCAGGTTCACGTGGAAGTTATGGGACCGCCACTGCTTCCAGATTGTGTAGTGGTACCTGCGAGGCACTGGATTAGTGTCACGAGAATGGTACTTCTATCCTTAGCAGGTTTTGACACTCGTCATCCCTTTCCCCGCATACGAACATTCCAGCGAGGTATACGTCGCTGGAAAGTTCGAGGGGAGGCAACTATAGTTGCATCCCCACTCAATTCAACTCCTTTTTGGTCCCTGACGTCATAGAAATGCAGGGCGAGGCGAGTACCGAGCACTTTAGTGCCATTCTGCAGTCAATGGTATTGTGGCATTACCCAACGAGAACATCGAAGAACTGACAATGAAGCAAAACCACGCCCTCTGTTTCTCAAGTTGCCAGTGACTGTATTAACTCCAGAAAGACGGCTATAGAACGAGTATAGCAGAAACGTGCAGATGGAGTTTGAGAAAAAAAATCGACTTTTGAGATTGCTACCGATGATGTGCCGAGAGACAATTTTCATGGTGACACCTGAAGGGCGATTCACACACTTGCATTGCGTTCGACCGAGTGCGACACTCTTACGCCCGCCCGCGCCACGCTGTCGAAATGGAGATTGTAAGCGGCTCAAAACCTCGTTGCCATAGCAATCTGGAAAATGATTGACGTCTCAAGCCGTTGTTGTCGCACTCGATCGGACTCATGCAAGTGTGTGAACTAGCCTCCTTGGCCGCCGTAGCGAGGTTACTCGAGAAGGTGTACAGAGGGTAGCGCGGTCACCTGTACAGCAACGTGACCCAGACGCAGAACACGACGAAGAGCACGATGGTGATGAAGACGAGGCCGGCGCTCTCCCAGGTCGGAAAGCCCTCGTGGCTGAACTGGATGGCGCCCTCGGTGCACAGCCAGAGGCTGAACACCACCAGGGGAGTGAGCAGCAACAGGGCCACCATGTCCCCGATAAGGTTCTGCTTGTCCTCCCGCGTGCTCGAGTTTATGAGCCACTCGTGGAAACCTTTGGGCCTCCGCGCCGTCACGTAGTGGAACTTGCAGATCTCGCACTGGTCGATCGCCTGGTTGCCCAGCCACGTCTCCAGGCACGTCTTGTGCACCTTGGCCAGAGAGCCTGCGTCGAAGATGGAACGAGGCCGGAGAGGCAACGGCATATGCTTTCGCCATGTCGGGGAGCGGGTACACCAACACCGCCTAGAATTTTCGAGACCTGGGAACATCGTCTCCTTCCTCCACGGAACGTCATCGTATGGTGCCAAACCAGCAACTGGACTCGAACCCGATGCCGAGTTTCCTCCGACGCGTTGATTGGACACAACGTCACACCGAATGCTGACGCGGCGCTTGTGTTCAATCCGTGTCTTCGCTCGATTCCACCGTGATGACGTCCAAATTCTAGTGCAGGGGTCTTGACTACTCTAGATGGTGTTGGGCACACTCGCCAAAAATGCGCCCCTTCATGTTCCTTTCACGCGGAAAACGCGTGTAGCCAATCACAGCGAGCCACGGAAGGATTCCAGCGGACGACAAAGCTCAGAATGCGAGTGATGATAGCTCAAAACTACGACGCAGGAACAGTGAGCAGGACGCTTCGCTTGCTCACTGTCCGCATGCACGTCGCAATGTTCGGGTCCACGCGAATTCTAAGCTTCATGATTCGCTTGGATCGTTTCCGTTGTTTACAGTGACTTGCTACGTGCATGTTCAAAAGGAGAGTGGGCGAGCACGCGTCTTTTCATAGTGAAGTACAGTTGAAAAAAAATAATAGCCACTGACAGGTTTAGAAACGCAAGAGTGTCTTTTTATGTTCGCCCTGCTCGCTACGTGATTCGTGCTACGCCTTTCTCACTGGTTAACGCTTTGCCTACGGTGCGATAAGACAACACTCCGGGGCAGACTTCTGGCCGTCACTTGAAGAATGTAATGAATTACAATTAGAAATTACCGAGCCTCAAATGTAACAGATTACCATTACAAATTATTTTCGCTCAAAAATAAAGGATTACTTTACTCGTTACGTTCCAAATTCCTCTCACGTTACTTTTTTGGTACACTCATGAAAAACAATGCGGAGGGCAAGTTCGTCTGCTTCTTGCGCAGCGGGTAGCGGTGACGTCAGAACGCCGAGCCCTGATTGGCTGATCGCGACCCCCTATCTGAGCGTCGTCTGCTCCTTTGCAACGTCGTCTGTGTCTGTCTTACCTTTCCTGCGACTTTCGGAAGTGCAGAGGCAGATTCACGAAACGATCTTACGCCAAAAATGTGCGTAAGACAAAACTTAAGAACAAATTCGTATTCACGAAACAAAATTTTCGCAAGTTTTGCACAGGTTACGACGGAATCCTACGACAGCTACGAAGCTGCCTTACGCACTTCTAACGATCAAATTAGCATGGCCGACAGCGTCGCTCAGTCACTTGGTCGCGACGACCAACGGACGTTTATTTTTGTACGTGCTCTACTCACGCGTCCCGACTACAAGCAGCGAGAGAAAAAGTAAAAAATACTTGAAATAAACCATGACGAACAAGAACGCTGGATCCACAAACACCCGGGAAATGCTCCAACGACCACGCTTCCACTGACCCCGACCAAGCGAGCTCGGCAGATAGGCCTAGCAGGCACTCCGACTCGGCGCAGCGGTGCTCCTACGGTCCTTGGCCTAGACCGTCTGCCCACGACCGGCTGGCTTGCCGAATGGAATATGCCCGCGCGACCCTTGTGAACCCTTGTTAACCCTTCCCGTATTATACTTTGATCGCTGACCTCAATTTTAGATTAAGAGGTCAATCTCTTCCTCTTGTCATCTCCCTGTTTTCCGAGGCAGCAGTGACTCTCGCCGGTGAAAAAGCGGTGAATTTTTGACAGACGCAGGAAAGGTAAAGCAGCCATCGCTCTGACTAGCAGACGTAAAGCAGGCGACGTTAACTGCGCCAACCCGGCGACGCCGTTAAAGAGTGAGGAGTATCGCCGCACACGAAAGTAGGGAAAGGAACTTGCGGACACTAACCACCTTCACTCTCGGTTCTCAGCAAACAAACCTCGGCGCCTCGAGACACCTCGCCAGTGAGTCCTTTGACTGCTCTCCTTGATGCGCGTCTGCTAGTTGTTAGACAAAAACAACGTACCGCTCGAGTTATTTCGCCTGCCCTCTCTGAAAGGCGAAGTCGAGCTCACTCGTAAAGACCTGCGCTTCCGAAAGTCGCAGGAAAGGTAAGACAGACGCAGACGACGTTGCGAGCGGACGACGTTGCAAAGGAGCAGACGACGCTTAGATAGGGGGTCGCTATCAGCCAATCACGGCTCGACGTTCTGATGTCACTGCTACTTCCTTTCACATGCACAGAAGACGAAAATGAGCCCACTTGCGAGGTGTATAGAAGCAACTCTGATACTTTCAAAAACGTTCTGTCTAAGAAATATGGGGTGTATAGGGGTACACCCTTGTCCCATTTGTAACACCCCAAAAGAACACTTCGACGTGTAGTCCACAGATGTCGAACCGACGATATACCAACTTTCAAGAGCGGCTTGATAGTCGACCGATAGAACTTATTAAAATAACTAAGGCACGCATTATAGGCTACAGTAAGACAACCAAGTTTTTTGATTGAGCGCAACGTCTGAAAGCTACGGTCTTGTGCCTGTAGCTTTGATGCACTCTTAGCTTATACATGAACGGGGTACAGTTGCACGCAGTCCTGAAAAATCCATGGGCGCGAGCGGTTGTTTTTGAGCTTTGGTCGAGCGGGTGGTCGCACACTCATATTTATAAAGTTTCTGTATTGTGTTCATATTAAAAAAAAAAGTAACAAGTAGTTAAAGTAATACAATACCACTATTAGTAACGAGATTACATCACAAATTACTGCCGCCAATAGGTAACGCTGCAATATCAAAATTACTTGAAAAATTAACAGATTACCCCAAGTCTGCTCGAAGAGGGGGGGGGGGGGGGAGAGGGGAGGGAGGGAGAGAGACTGCCATGCCGTGCGTTTCTGAAGTTGTCACTGATGATAGCTGCGCTACATTTATTAGAGTTTTCCCAAGCGGGATGTAGTGTAGGAAAAGGCGCGATTTAAACGAGCGTCTTTGGACAGCGTAGCTGCCTTGTTCAAGAATATTTACCGCGCGGCGAGTGGTCACGTGCACTCTAAAAGAAATTATAAAAGTCCACTTCCCTGTATATTACAGGGATAGCCAATCATTGTGAACAGTAGAGGGACCCCAGCGAATGACGTAGATCAAAACACAAATATGATTAGATTAAAAAAAAAATAATATATGCATAATGACAAATAGTGAGCATTTGTGAGATTAACTGTAGTCTCTTGGCGCTTTTGTCTGATTGTTATGCTTGTGTGTACATTAGTTTCTAAATGTTCCATTGCTCGGGTGCGCCAGCATCAAGAACGTATGGTTGTTACTGGACACCTAATAATAAAATCGATTCTTGATGCTTATTTAATATTACATGTAAAGTTCGGCAAAAGCTGGGCAGGACGCTTGCTTTGTGCGACGAAAGCATGTACACACTCTAAAAAAAGTTTGTGCGTCTATTTTCCCGCACAACCCTTGGAGAGCCAATCACCGCAACTTAGGGAGGCAGCTCAGCGAATGAAAATGCCGAAACATATGTTTAGACCAAAAAACGCAGTCTGAGTTGGGACATTAAGCAATGCAAAACGCCACGCTGGCATTGCTTAATGTCACAACTCAGACTGCGTTTTTTGGTCTAAAAAAATGTTTCGGCATTGTCATTCGCTGAGCTGCCTCCGTAAATTGCTGTGATTAGCTCTCCGAGTTTTGTGCGGAAAAGCAGACACACGGTCTTTTTTTAAGAGTGCAGAAGCCACACATATAGGGTGTCCCCACCAAAGAATAATTTACAGGATCTTTGTTTTTTTTTTAAACGCAAAAATAAACTACACATCACCGAAATCTCATTCTCCACCCAAATGTTGGCCTGGCGGTTCGAACCAGATGCCACATATTCAGAACTAACGATTATCTTATCCAACAGTTATAGTCGATTTTCTGAAATTTTAAGTAAAAAATGGCGACCGATGGTTCTCTAATAATACATGCAACTGAACGACGCCATGTACTCAAAACGGATGGAAACAAGCTCAATTTTCGCGTCAAAAATTTCGAAAAATCACCTATAAGTTTTAACTGAGGTAACAGTTAGTTCGGGAGCTTTGGCATCTGGTCCAGACCGCTAGCTCTAAATTTGGGCGGAGGATCAGCCTTCGGTGATGCGTAGTATTTTGTTTGTTTTTTAAGGTGAAAAAGTACATTATGTTTCTTTTTTTAGAAGCGTTGTGTGACTGTGTCGTCTATACTGCTTCGTCAGTTGATAGGCGATGCTTGGTCCAGTGGTGTTGATTTGACTACGTCCAACTTAATTATAGTGAACTAATGTAAGCCTGTGTCAAAGAACAGATTTCTAGCCTCTTATTGCTCAATGTGACGGAGTTTGAGCGTAAAGATTGCATTACGCTGCAACGTCACACATAATTTTTTTTTTGCTTCGCTCACATAATTTGGTTTGCACATTTCACTCTTTACGCTTTACGCGATGTCGGAACTCAAGGCCAGTTCGCTAGAAACGGCATCTCAGCTGAGACTGGAGGAAAGAAAGCACTGCTATGCCAGCGCACGAGCTGAGCGGAACTGAGCGGAACTCAAACCAACGTTCACTCAAACCGCGCGTCAAGACGCTCGCGTTCCAGAGCCTTTGCAGCGCTTTCTTTCACCCAGTCTTGGCTGAGACGCTGTTCTAGCCGGCCCTGATCTGGCAAAGATTCTATACACCGGGACAACTTTTCTTGGCAATGCAGTAGAAGGTAGAGGCCCGCGTCCCCTCTCCCCTTTTGAGTCTACGCAGGCTCTCCTCCTCCCCCATTTCCGGGGAGAGGAGGAGAGCCCGCGCACTCCTCCTCTCACTCTTAACTTAAACTCACACTCAAAATGGGAGAGGGGACGCGGGCCTGTACCTTCCACTGCATTGCTAAGAAAAGTTGTCGCGGAGTATAGTCAAAGTGTAAAAGTGTTACATCTGTACGAAAAAAAAAAAGTTCCAGAAGATATTGAGCATGGAAAAAGTGTTACATGCCATTTTCGCCATACCGGGTGTCACAAAAGAAAATTTACACGGTCTTTTTTATCGCAAAAATAAACTAGGCATCGCCGAACGCTCATTCTCCGCCCAAAGGTAGCGCTAGAGGTCACAACCAGATGCCAAAGTTTCAGCCCGATTCGATTACTTAATCAAAAGTTATAACTGATTTTCTGAAAATTTCAATGGGAAAATGGCGTCCGACGGAGTTTTCGAACATATGGGGCTCTATGGCACCAGAAACCGAAAACGGGCAAAAATGGGCTCCAGTTTCCCATTGAAATTTTCAGGAAATCATTTATAACTTTTGATTAAGTTATCGAATCGGGCTGAAACTTTGACATCTGGTTGTGACCTCTAGCGCTACCTTTGGGCGGAGAATGAGCGTTCGGTGATGCCTAGTTTATTTTTGCGGTAAAAAAGACCGTGTAAATTTTCTTTTGTGACACCCTGTAATATAATGAACGCTAAGCACAAAGGAGGGACAAGGACACAGTGTCATTGTCCCTCCGTTTTGTTTAGCTTTCAATATATTTTTATCTGCTTCAACACACTTGCCCAACTATCTACCTGTTGGTATTTTCTGTGTAAAAGTCGTAAGAATTGTTTTGTCATATTCACATTTTCATTTTATGTACCTCTTTTCATATTTTTTGTTTTACAAATTTCGAAATTTCGTGCGACATTTTGTTGGGTTTTTGCACACGTGTTTGAACATTTCCTCATCTTGCGCCGGACGTTCCGCTCCAGTAAAAGAATTGTGAATATGCCCGGCAGACTGCCGGCTGTCCTGGTCTTTGGGTCTTTAAGCGAAACCTCCTAGTGACTAAAGATATCGCTCTATAGTTGCAGCTCTTTTTTCTTGCTTGTCTCACCTTTGCACTTGCATGGAGCCAAAAGCGATTCCGTGCTGACTCCGCAGAAGCAGATGCGGCAGATGTCCGCCTGTGCATTGCATGTCTGGTGGTTGTGGTGCGCCTTGGTGGAAGAGCTCAAGCTGCTTGCGTCCAGGTTATCGGTGGCAACCTCGGGCTGTTCAGACACCATCGAGGCGGCTGCTGCTGCCAGCGCCGACTGCGTCGCCGATGGAAGCTCAGGCGACTGCGGGCTGCATCGTCCTCCTCGAGGTTCCGGGGGCCCTGCCGCGCACACCGAGCGCCTTCGGGTCAGCGCTTTGCTACGAAGGCAGAGCTCGAGGACGTGTGCAACGTCACCTTGAGACTACCTCGAATTAAGACGGGTTCACACACTTGTGTCTGCGTACCTTTACAAAACATATTTTAGGCAGTGAATAGATGTTATATCTACACCTTAACGGCCCTTTCAACTTTATGTGTAGTCATGTCTTATCGACAATTTGCAGTAGGTTTTCTATCGACTTTCTTTCAACAAAAGCCTATAGGACAGAGACGATAAAAATGCACTAGAATTTTTATCGTCAGGTCTCAGTACACTTTCTATCCCCAAATTTGTATACATAAACTTGATAAAAAAAAAAGAAAGACGTTTACAATTCTCTGTAATGCCAAATTAGAGCGCAGCTCTTGAGGAGAAAAGGGGGAGGGTACGGCGAGGAGGTTATGTTCATGCACCCCTTCCGTGCTCTCCCCTCCTGCTCCTCTGCCCCCCTCCCATTTAGCGGGAAATTTTCGCTGAATTCGCCGCGAAATATGGCGCAACATTTTACCAACATTTTGCCGCTAAATTTAGCGGAAAATTTAGCGAAATTTTTACTCTAAATTTAGCGGGGAAATTTAGAGAAAATTTCAAGCTAAATTTATCGGGGAAACTGAATTGATGTTGAGGTCACGTGACGTTAATTTTCCGGCTAAATTTAGTGGAAAATTTCTTATAAAATTTAGCGTGACGTTACACGTCACAAAGGTAAAATTTTATGGTTTGGCGGGAAAATTGTTCGCAAAATTCGGCTGGAAATGCTTTCGCTAAATTTAGCGCAAAAATTTCCTCTCTAAATTTAGGGGAAAACTTTCCTCGCTATATTTAGTGGGAAATTTTCTGGTCGAAATTAGCGGGAAAAGTTTACCCTCGTGACGTCACGTGACGTCACACTTGACGTGACGTGGGCACCCTTGTGATCCACGTTACCCTCGTTACCCAATTGTACCCTTGTGACGTCACGCGTGACGTCACGTGTGACGTTATTATGGCAAACGTCTCATAATGTAACGCACGGTTACGCCGACGCCGACGCCGATGCCGACGCCGCTCAACCCGGAGACGGGCGCCCAAGAGCTGCGGTCTAATAATAAAATACAGTGCGGAGAAGAGGCATCACACCCAGTTGAATCCCCCTTCCGGAAGCTGCTTTATTCGATTGTGTCAAATAATTATCGCTTCTTGCAATGCTTTACAGTTGGAGATACAGTTCACTAACTATTAGAGACCACATTTTGCATAAATTATTGGCGAGAGAGAAGCAACATAGTTGCAATCTTTTTATGTTCTTGGGGGGCCTCTTTCAAATGATTGGCCTTTCAAGTGTAGGGCATAAATAGCGGTGGAGCAGTTAATACTACGGAAATATTAGTGTCATGCGTTCCGTGATGTATGTACAAGGTGTCCCGCAAAAAAAAAAAAGTTAGGTGTTTTTGTTTTACCTCAAAAATAATTTGCGCAATTCTGAATGCTCAATCTCGGCCAAAATGTAGCCCTAGCGGTTCGAACCAGATGCGAAAGTTTTAGAATTAAAGTTATCTTTCTCAAACGTTATAGTCGACTTTCTAAAATTTCCAAGAGCAAAATGCATGGAGACCCATGGGCCTCTTATAATACATGAAGTTGAATGGTGCCAGTTACCGAGAATGGGCAAAAACGGGCCACATTTTCACATTAAAATGTTCAAAAAATCACCTATCACTTTTGACTGAGTTAACATATAGTTCTGAAACTTTGGTATCGGGGTTTAACCGCTAACACTGCAACAGGGCGGAGAATGAGCGTTCGGCGATGGGTAGTTTATTTTTGCGTTAAAAATAAACTGCACTTTTTTTTTTTTTTTTTGGGGGGGGGGGGGGGGGGGTGGAGACACGCTGTATATGTGATGTAGGCGTATGTGCACAAGACAAGTGGCGAGTGCGTCTTCATCTATTGAGACAAACCTAAAATTAACGTTCAGGATTTCATTTTTCATTCGCAATAAACTGGAGAACTGTCAATAAAAGGGGACAGATAAGGTACTTTGTTAGCATCTCTATCTGTTTTCTATACAATTTCTTTATAAGTTCTCTCCAATCTGCATACACTGAGTTCTGTAAAAAGTCTACAGAAAACGCGACCAAAAAGCTACAGACAGTGGATAGAAAAGTGGATACATTTTCCTTAGAATATCTATAGCCTCTATACACTGTTCTCTACAAACATTTTATAGAAAGTGGATACATATTTTTGCAAGAGTACAACCGCGGGCCAAATAACCTCTTGGAATTTCTTACGCCAAGAAAACACCGCGGCGCCATCTATTGGGTAGGCGTGAAACACTTGGCACTTTAGCGAAATGCAGTTCCAGAATCACCTCGTAGATGGGGCCAGCGTGCCAGTGTGTTCCCTCGTCGCACGAGATCGCAAGACCTCGGTCGTAGGCGAGCTCAAGTGTGTAAACGGGCCTTTACACTCCGTTGCACATTCGATCCGACCTGTAACGCTCCCAGGGCCTTGAGGGTATGTAAGTAAAGTATGTAAATAAAAGTCAACGCTGCCATCTTATGGAGCCAATCAAGCAGCATCAAAAGTGTGTCGTCATGGCGCTCGTCGTGTTTGTGCGTTTCGTATCTCCGGCTAAACCAATCACGCACAGTGAATGTGCCGTGATCCCACGCTTTCTAATTGCGTGAGTAATTATTGCCCTGGGGCATGCAGGTCAGAGCCGTCTTTCGTTTGGACGGTCGTGGTTTGGTTTGGACTGACTTGGACTAACTGATTAAAAACAAATACCTCCGACTTGCATAACAACACCAACAATTTATCAGACGTTTCGTCTCCTATGCGGGAGACATCATCAGTGCGGCCTGGGAACACCCGACTAGCTACCAGCAATCCAACGCTTCTTCTTCCTTCTCTTCATCCGTAGCGCTGGTTCTGCCGACTTCTTCGTCCATGGCATACGGGGGACACTATCATCGTCTGCACTCGCTTCAACTTCTTTTACGTCCGCCGTGGATGGGAAGTTAAATGAAAAGTTATTTCAGGATGTCGCTGTACACGTCGGGGAGGGGGCCGCGGTTAGAATTGCAGGCGGATGGGTCACTGCGAATACACCATGATTCCAGAAATCTTCTGGGACCCCACCGTTGTTCGCGTGCCAGGGTCACAGCATTCGCAACGTCAAAAGTGGGACCAGTCGTCCAACCATGGTCCATCAGTTCAGTTTTTGATCTTCTTGCACGCTTCCAATGACGCTGCGCAAAAGCGGGAGGGGAGGGGATCGAGCGGACGTGGCGGTTTCACAACGTGCGCGAGAACCTAAAGGCCCGTTCACACTCTTGCAACCGAGTACGACCGAGAGAGACCAGACCGGTTTTTAAGCCTCTTGCGATCTCTTAGGACCAGCTCCGCTGTAGCGCATCCGGTCCTAAGAAGTCGTAAGAGGATTAAAAACCGGTCTTGTCTCTCTTGGTCGTACCCGGATGCAAGAGTGTGAACGGGCCTTAAGACTGAGACGCAGCGACGACGCCATTTGCGCGAAACCGCCGACACTCGAGACGAAAGATTGACTTTTTGAGTGCCACAGTACGCGGACCGTAGGCGGCGATCGGGAAAAGGTGGCTGCATCCGAAACCACTGACGCCCGGGAGAACAGACTGGCTCTCCGAAGACAATAGTATGCTGACCCTTGCAATGTTGGAATTCTCATCCTTCGCTTACTCAGAACCCCCGAGTTAATTGTGGGCGTACTTCGTCGAGAATCAGCGTAACGACAGCAGCGACTTTGGCATAATTGTTTTCTTTGCGCTTGATTGGTTTGGCCGGTACTATGTCAAACGTGGAAAAACGACGAGCGCCTTTGAGATACATTTTTGGTGCTGCTTGATTGGCTCCATCGGATCATTGCGGCTTTGGCTGCAGTCGAACTTAATGTAAAACGGAATATAGGAATTTACAATACATCATTCAGGGCTCACATCATACCAAAAAATGTTGATCAATCAAAAGAGAGGGAGTGAGGAAATATAAAGGCCCCTAATATATCTGGGTACGTAATAACGACCTTTTACATTGAATACATTGTTTGGCACTAACGCCACATTAGCAGTCACTGTGAAAGACCTAGCTGCAGCGATCGTATACCTTCCGCAGCACACATTTTGCACTACCGAATATGTCTTTTTTTCGGTGAGATTAAGAGAAATCGCCATTGGTACGGTGCAATGACGTCAAATGCAAGCCCTGTGTACGTAATTTGAACGTCACATTATTCCAGAGCGTTGATGATGGTACCTGCTTGTCGCAAAGTGGCCTTCCGTGATGTAATATAACGCGCAGCAGGGAAAACTCGGGGAAGACCAATTGCCGCAAACCCGAGCAAGATATGACGTAGGTGCAACCTGTGCGCTGGATAATTACGGCCCTAAAGCCGTTAAACACAGAGTTGGAGCGCAAAGTTCACGAAGCGCGCCGATTGGACATGGGCGAAAAAAGCGCGAAGTCATTGTCGTGATAGGCCAATCGGTGGGCTCCGTCAACTTCAACCCCAACTTTGTGTTCGACGAGTTAGGGGCCCAGGTGTAGATGCTCAACCACCGTTCGTCACACTCTCTCCATACAACATTTTGAAATCATTAAAACGTTCGAATATTCACGGCAACAAGTAAAAGGACTAACATTCAAGTTATGACCATATGCAATGTAGAGCAACAATTTACACCAAAATCTAGAAATCTATGCCGAAATCATATATCCATTTTGCTTACAACCTTCAGACGCGACGTCGCGGGTGTGGCAAAAAATAAAGTAACGCCGACGGAAGTTTGACGTCGTAACTGAAAATATCAGCCAGACTCTAATAACGTGACTCGGACAATAAGTAATGA